GTAATCCTAGCACTCTGGGAGGCTGAGGCGGGAGGATCGCTTGAAGCCAGGAGTTCGAGACCAGCCTGAGCAAGAGTGAGACCCCATCTCTACAAAAAATTAGAAAAAACTTAGCCAGGCGTGGTGGCGCACCTGTTGTTCCCACTACTCGGAAGGGTGAGGCCAGAGCATCCCTTGAGGTTGCAGTGAGCTATGATGATGCCACTGTACTCTAGGTCAGAGACCTGTCTCAAAAAAAAAAAAAAGAAAATGTTCACAGAACCATGTCACTCCCCAGCTTGAAATCGTCTCAGTGGTGTCTCATTGTACTTGGAGTAAAGTCCAAAATTCTTACCTTGGCCCACAAGGCCCCGTGTGGCCTGTTCTCTCCTCCCTGTTCACTCTGCGCCGGCTACACAGGCCTGCTTCCCACTCCTAGAGTTGCCATTGGCTTGCTGCTGCGGGGCCGTCACGCCCTCTGTCCCCAGTGCCTGCGGGACGGTTTCCTGCAGTGTGTCACCTTCCACCTTACGTCTCACACCCTTCTCTACCTCATCTTGAAAGCACTTTTCTAACTTGAAAAACATATTTATTTGATAGCTTTTAAAAACTGTTTCTCCCCCAAAAGACTATAAGCTCTATGTGTGTGTGTGGGTGGGTGGGAGGGGGAGCAAACCCATCCTTGTTTTGCTTTTAACCACGGTATTCTCTGAGCTTGGCAATGGCTTGACACAACATGGCATGTATGTACTACTCACCGAGTGATGGAGCATCAGGATGTCTTTGTCTGGCCATCTCTGGGTCCTAGCTCCCAGCACAGGGCTCAGCACTGAAGGACACAAGGAAATGTTTGAATTTAAGGAACTGGGGAGGGTTTGGCTGCCCTTCAGCCAGGACCTGACGGGAGGAGAAGGCATCCAGTGTGGCACCAAGTATCAAGGAACAGACTAAGGCTGTCGGAGTGGGGCTGTGGGCTGCGGGGGCTTCCCGTGTTCCTCTGTGGGCAAGGAGTGGTTATTCCTGCTGTCCAGGGGAGGAGGGGGGCATTTAAAAGCTCTAAGAACAGCCGGGTGTGGTGGCTCACGCCTGTAATCCTAGCACTCTGGGAGGCCGAGGCGGGAAGATCGCTTGAAGCCAGGAGTTCGAGACCAGCATGAGCATGAGGGAGACCCACCTGAGCAAGAGCGAGACCCTGTCTCTATTATAAATAGAAAGAAATTAATTGGCCAACTAATAGAAAAAATTAGCCGGGCATGGTGGCGCATGCCTGTAGTCCCAGCTACTCGGGAGGCTGAGGCAGGAGGATCGCTTGAGCCCAGGAGTTTGAGGTTGCTGTGAGCTAGGCTGACGCCACGGCACTCACTCTAGCCTGGGCAACAGAGTGGGACACTGTCTCAAAAAATAAAATAAAATAAAATAAAATAAAATAAAATAAAATAAAATAAAATAAAATAAAATAAAGTAAATAAATAGATAAAAGCTCCAAGAAGGAGGCCGGGGGCTCAGTAGGCAGAATAAGCTGTGGGGAAGACAGACCTGGGTTTGAATCCTGCCTCCACTACTCTCATGGTGTACAACTTGGGACAGGTGACTTCACCTTTTTGAGGCCCATTTCATCCGTAAAACGGGCACAATAACAGACCTTACCTCCTCGTACTGTCATGGAGATGTAGAAATAATGTATTGGTTCAAATAGCACAGAAGAGACAGCAATGCTGCTACTGCTGCTGCTGACAGGATACGATGAAGAAGAAACAGAAGAAATATTTTAAGTCCCTGGATGCTGGATGCTCCTAAGAAGAACTCGACTTTGACTTAGGGCTGCTGGAGAAGCAGTCCTGAGGGCACCTCGGGCCCAGGGGATTCAGGGGGATGAGGCAGGTGTGTAAGTAGGAAATAGGCTTGAAGCCAGGAGCCAGGAAGGTGGGCAAGAGATGGGCAAGCAGTGCCGGGGCGGCCCAGGGCTGAGGGTATCTGAGGCCCACTGGGGACTGTGTGGCCCTGCAGCAGGACCTGCCACACCTCCCTTTATGTGTTTGCCACCCCTGTCATCCTGTTCTCCTTCCTAAGCTAGCGTTCCGCACCTCTCCAGCCGCTGCCCTTGGACTGGGCTCTGCTGAAGGCCCACGTGGCCAGATGCAGAGGGGAGGCTGGTGTCAATGAATCTTGAGCCCAAGTTCACCTCCTGGCCCAGACATTGACTCGCAGCATGCCCTGTGACTCGGTTTCCCTATCTCCTGCCAAACTAAGGGTCTGAGGGGCCTCTCTGAGCTCCTGCATGCTACACCCTACAGATAAGGGCAGTACCTATGGGGAAAGAACCCTTGGGATCCCTGGCAGAGCAGGGATGAGGCTGATGGCTAAGTGGAGAGATTGCCAAAGACTGCAGGAGTCCAGGAGAGGCTGGGGAACTGAGCCACAGAGAGGGTCCCCAGGGGTGGCCAAGAGGAAGAGGCCATGGCTGGGGGGCCCTGCGGGGTGAAGAATCTCACTCTGCTGTCCCCGGTGGGCCGGCTGCTCCCCCCCCAACTCCCCGCCGGGCCCCCGGGGACCTCGCTCTAATAATGTATTTGATCGACTCGCCGGCCGCGTACAAGCGATTATTGTCTTGTCGGGAGTCAAACGTATCGATCCGGCGAGAAATATGAGCGGAGCAATGGGGCCCGCGTGTCAGTTACCAGCCCCGCTGGCCCTGGGGAGCCCCCTACGTCTCCTTTAATTACCGCTCAGCCCTGAGCCCAGCCTGGCCTCCCCTGTGCTCCTCCCTCCCAGGCTCCCTGCACCTGCAGTGGCCCCCACTGCTCCCCAGCTCCTGTCTCCTACCTGCCTTGCTCAGCATGGCTTGAGGCCTCTTCTCTGGCAATGAAGCCACCATCTTCCCCTGCCTGGGCCTCCCCATTCCCAGCTGCCAGTTCCTACCCACCAGTGTGCTCCAAACTCTGCCCCTCCGTCCTCTCGGGCAGCCCCATCCTCCTTCAAGATCCCCTCGCCCAGGCCCAGGGACTCGGCTCTGGTCTGAGGCAGTGATAGTGGAGGCAGCGTGGGGGCGAGGGGGGGTGATTTCATCCTTTGGAGAGTGTATAAGGCCTCCCCTGGCTCCAGGAACCAGCCGCAGACCTGGCAGCACAGAAGTGGGTGGTCCTTCTCTTCTTGCTCACCTTAGGGGGCTGGCACGGGGTCATGTCCGAAAGCATGCTCCTGACCTGGGTGATACTGAGTGTGTCCAGGGTGGAGCATAGGAATGGCTGGTGGGTTTTGGCACCCCCCCATAATGTCCTAGGACCCCCATTTCCAAGCCCCCCCAAACATAAATCCTAAATGAAAACAGAGCTTACAGGGCAAATGCAGCTGTAAGATGAGGCTCCAGTACCCCACCGCCACCAGACTGCTGTTGGGAAGACCCTTCAACAGAAACCCTGCAGCGGGTGGCTGTGTGGCGTGCGGATCTCCTCTGTGAAATGGCCTTTACAGTACGGGATGTTGTGGAGTGTAGACGCCTGGAAACTGTCCCCTCTGTGCGTGCATGTGAGAAGCGCGGGTCATTCCTGCCGGTCCCGCTGCCTGGGCGTGTCTGGGTGCACAGGGCCCATGTGCGGACAGGGGAGGTCACTAATGCAGTTGTGTGTTACGCTCTATGTGTGAGTGTGGGTACAAATGGCCGGGAAGCGTGGCCGGGCGCATATGTGTGGCTGTGCCCTTGTCCCACAGGTCCACGTGAGGGAGCAGAGGGTGTCTGTATTGAGGGTGCCCATCGTCATTAGGGAGAGTTGGAGTTGGGGCAAGCAGAGAGTTGTTCATGTGGGTCTGTGCGTGCACGCGTGTTTGTGTGTGTGAAGTGTTGGGGCCCATGTGTAGAAATACTTATGTGTACGCGTGTGTCCGGTTGAGTGCAGACGTCCGTGCGCGCGCGTGTGGTTTTGGGGCCCCCCAGCGTGGGCCCCGACCGCTGGGGGCAGGCAGCCGGGCTGTTTGGAGGCGCCAGGAGGCCCCGCAGCCTCGGACCCCGGGCGCCGAGAGGAGGAAGAGGGCAGCGGGCTCGGGCGCGCCTTTGTCTGAGCCGCTGTGCGCGGAGAGTCCTGCGCCTTTGTGTGACCCTCGCAGGTGTGCGCGCAGGGGCGGGGTGGGGGCGGGGACGAAGGGGGTCGGCGAGGGGAGCGGAGGGAGGGGCTCCATCCTCCGCAGCCGGCCCCGCCCTCCGGCCCATTGGCTGGGCGCTGCCGCCCTCTGGCGGGCGCGGAGGGACGCGCTGGGCTGGGAGCGCCGCTGCACGAAGGGCTAGCAGGCAACAGCGGGGGACCCGGGGCTCCCCTCCACCAGAGCCGCCTCTGGCTCCCGCGTTTGATCCCTCACAGACTTCTTGCCACCCCAGGCCAAGGACCGCCCGCACTGCCACTGCCCACGGGCACCGCTTCCTCCCAGTGGTGGCCCTGGACACCTCACCTGCAGACAGGTGCGAACTTGGTCCTCCCCAACGCGCCGTGCTTTTTGGCTGCAAGTCTTCCTTGGGAAGGCCACCTCTCACCTCTTTGATCCTCAGACTTTCCGTCTGTAAAATGGGGCAAGTAACAGTGCCCACCTCTGGAGATGACACCTGTCAAGTGTGAGGTGCGGGGCTGGGCGTTGGGAAAGCCCTCTCTCCAATAACCTGTTAGCTGGTGTTTATTGTTGTTATCGGTCTGGGCTCACCTTCTCTCCCAGACCCGCATGCCCTGTTCCATATCTGTTTGCCCCCATGGGAGTGGCAGAAGGGCAGGAGCAATTGTTGCAGACACCTCCTGGGGCGGAGGCTGTAGGAGTAAGATCTTCCAGCCTGCTTGTCCTCTGCCCCACCAACCCCCACCCTCCTAACATACACACATGATTTGGGATCCGCAGGGTTGCTGGGGTGGGTCTGCAGGCCTCCTGGGTATTTTCCCTTCTGAAGGGGGGGACTCGTGCTCGCTTGGGCAGCACATATACTAAAATTGAAGGGGGCGGACCCGGCCCTGTGGTTTCCTCCCTGGGTGACTTCCGGCAGGGAGGGCTCAGCCCCCAGAGAGGGCGGGGAGATGACACAGTTGTTCCCCCAGCCCTGGCGGGGCGGGCAGCATGGTTCACTCCAGCATGGGGGCTCCAGGTAAGGGGGCTGGTGCCCGAGCCACTGATCAGGAGGACAGGCTGCACATTTGGGTTTGTTCTGCTGTGCCACCTCTGCTGGCCCTCCCTGCCCCTCCTCCTTACCTGTCTTCATTGTCCCTCTACTCTGTACTCTAGCAACTCCCCTCTCCCATGCTGGGTGCCCCTGCCCCAGTTCCTCCTTGCCCTCCCCTTCTAAATCTAACACTGAAGCTTCCAGTGTCTTCTCCCCATCTCCGTTGTCTGGGGGAAGGAGGGATGGAGCCAAGTGTTGGTCGTGGGCCCTTAGATGGGGAACCAGTGGGATGGGTGACATGGGTGATTCTTGGGTGGGGGCTGCAAAGAGGTTGGATACCAAGTTGCTGGACTTGGAGGGTGTCATTTTCCTTTTGAGTGTGTATGGGTATGTGTCTGCGTGTGCGGTCATTCTGAGTCCTCTGAGCGTGACTGCCGTGTGCTTGTGTATGAGAGAGGGGAGGGGGCTGTTGTGAGTGGCATCCTGCGGGTAGCCTTGGCCCTGGGCTCTTGGCTCACTTCCCCACTTCATTCACCTCCGATGTCACCTCCTCAGGGTGGCCTTCCCTGACCTCCCCAACCAAACTGGCACTGATCCTGTCACTCTGATCCTCTCGCTCTGCTTTATCTCTTTCTTCACGGCACTTATCACCACTGGAAATTTCATTATGTGTTTGTTAGTGTGCTTATTAAATGCCTCCTCCGACAAATGGCAGTTGACTGAGTGAACGTTGTGTGCCAGGCACTGGGCACTGTGCGAGGTGATTTATAGTTGTTGGTGTAACGTGGCAACAGGCATCTTTCGGCAGTGTGGACGGGAGCTGTAACGAGGTGCTGTGTGTAACGTGCTTAGCACGGTGCCTGGGACGTGCGAGCACTTGGCCCTTCATGACGGTTTCACCTGTGGACGGATAGGCGTGACTGTGGGCATGCGTCTGGGTTTGGCTTATGCCAGCCTATGTGTGTCTGTGAGTCCGGGTATCTTTGTGTCCTCCATCAGTTATTAATATAGTCATTGAGCAGTTCTGTGCTGGGCGTTGGAAACATAAGTGGAAAAGACAGTTTCAAGTCTGCCCTCCTGGAGCCCCCAGATCCGTGGAGAAGACAGACCTGTGACCCACGACAGCACAGAGTGGTCAGGTTTGGGATGGGCAACAGGCAGAGGGGCTGGGGGAAATATAGGAGATTGTGGGAGCCCAGAAGACATGTGTGATTCAGTTGCTGGGGTGTCAAGGAGGTGGACCAGGGGGGTATCTGAGCTAGGATGTGAAGGGTGAGTGGGTGTGAGCAAGGCAGAGGAGGTGAGGAGGGGGTTGGCATAGAAGGAAGACTATTTGTAGGATGGCATATGTGTATTTACTGAGGTGACAGTATGCGCAACTGTGTATGAGTGTGTGCGTGCCCGTGCAGTGTAGACACAGAGATCCAGGGTGTCTGCACATGCATGGTGTCTGCTCCACCACTGACTTGTCCCTGTCCCGGGTCGGATGGGGACGTTGTAAGTACTGGGCAGTAGGGTAGACCTTTAACTTGAGGTTTCTCATAGAACAGCCCTGCCTGGGAGGTCCTGTCTTGGTCTTCACTGCCCAGACATGAATTAATACCTTGTGTGGCCTTGAACAGATCATTTACCTTGGCTGATCTTGGGCTCCACACCTGTGAACTGGGTTCAGGGGTCTGCCCTGGCCAGCTGCCAGGATGAGTGACTCTGGGTGTGGGAGTGTGTGCACATCTGTGTGTGTCTGTGTGTGTCTATGTGTGACTCTGGGTGTGGGAGTGTGTGCACATGTCTGTGTGTGTGACTCTGGGTGTGGGGGTGTGTGCACATCTGTGTGTGTCTGTGTGTGACTCTGGGTGTGGGGGTGTGTGCACATCTATGTGTATCTGTGTCTGTGTGTGACTCTGGGTGTGGGGGTGTGTGCACATCTTTGTGTGTCTGTGTGTGTGACTCTGGGTGTGAAGGTGTGTGCACATCTGTGTGTATCTGTGTGTGTCTGTGCTTGACTGTGGGTGTGGGAGTGTGCACATCTGTGTGTATCTGTGTGTGTCTGTGTGTGACTCTGGGTGGGAGTGTATGCACATCTGTGTGTATCTGTGTGTGTCTGTGTGTGTGACTCTGGGTGTGAGAGTGTGTGCACATCTATGTGTATCTGTGTCTGTGTGTGACTCTGGGTGTGGGGGTGTGTGCACATCTTTGTGTGTCTTGTGTCTGTGTGACTCTGGGTGTGGGGGTGTGTGCACATCTGTGTGTATCTGTGTGTGTCTGTGTGTGACTCTGGGTGTGGGGGTGTGTGCACATCTGTGCGTATCTGTGTGTGTCTGTGTGTGACTCTGGGTGGGAGTGTGTGCACATCTGTGTGTATCTGTGTGTGTCTGTGTGTGTGACTCTGGGTGTGGGGGTGTGTGCACATCTGTGTGTATCTGTGTGTGTCTGTGTGTGACTCTGGGTGTGGGGGGGTGTGCATATCTGTGTGTATCTGTGTGTGCCTGTGTGTGTGACTCTGGGTGTGGGAGTGTGTGCACATCTGGGTGTGTCCATCTGGCTGGCTGGGCATGACTTGGTGTGAGAGTGTGTGTAAGTGTGTGTGTGTATACACACATCTGAGTCTGTGAGTGACTCTGGGGATGTCTGTATGTGTCTGTGTGTTACTCTGCCTGTGTGAGTGTGTGCACATGTGTGTGTATCCGGCTGGCTGGCTGGCTGTGTGTCCTCGGTGTAAGAGTGGAAGCGCCTGTGTAGGTACACACGTCTGGGTGTGTGCTTTGCATGTCTACCTGTGGCATCATGTCTGGGCATGTGTCTTTCTCTGCAAACCTGTGCATATTCCTGTCTGGAATCTGGCACACCTGTTGTTGTGTGTGTTGGCGGGGCCCCTGCCTTGCTGCGGCTGTGGTGTGGCCGCTCTTGCTTGTTGTCGGCACAGCTGTGGGGCCACCTCTCTTGTTGTGTCTGCTGCCCGTATCTCCATCCCTCCCTCCTGACAGCTCAGAAGTGTTCGCTCCCCTGAGGCCACCAGGGACAGCTGTGGGGCTGGTGGGGGTGAGGTGTTGCTCCTGGGGAGGCCAGGACTGGGCCAGCTGGGCCCACAGAGGTTCCCGGCAGCGCCAGCCTGCCCACAGGGGCTCCCGGGCCACAGCCTTGATTGAGGTGGGTGTGGAGGCAGGGACCCAGGGGACAGGCCAAGCGGGACCAGGAGGGGTGAGGGGCAGTCCTTGGGCCCTCTATATTTAGCCTCATTTTCAGTAAGTGCTAACGAGAAGCTGGCCTATGTCTGCTAAAACTGGCTGGGGGAAATGCAGAGGAGAAGTGAAAGTCCGGGGAGGGTGGGGAGGGGAGGACGGAGGGGACCCAGAGTCCCAGGGTCCCAGGCGTGGGGCAATTGGGCGAGTGTGAACTTAGGGCCTGGACATCCCTGGGTGGGTCTGTCCCGAGGATGGTGGAATTCAAGGGGCCTGGTAGGGTTATGCATTGCTTTTCTCTGCCGGTTTCTCTAAAAAGGTACACACTACCGGGGCTGGGCAGTGGGGCTGACCATGAATAACCAGCCAAATTTTCTGTGCAAACAAAGCTTTGAGAGGAGCTTCTGAAGGTGCCAGGGGCTGGAGCACATTAGAGTCACCTGAAGAGTCTTTTAAAAACCTAGGTGCCCAGGTTGCACCTTGTATCTGTGAAATCAGAGGGTCTGGGGTGGGAACAGGCGTCAGTATTTCTGTAGAGTCAAAAGGTGGGTGTTGGGCATCCCTGCGTGGGCCGAGGCTGAGGCAGAGCCTTTGGATGGGCCCTCCAAGTCCACGGCTGCCAGTGCCCTGGTGTCCCCGTTGCAGCATCGTTTGGCTTTTGGTCCAGGTTGAAAACGGAGCCCCCTATTCGTCCTTGGTGGGAATGATTTGACCCTTTTCTCAGATTGAGGTCTGATAGGGGGAGAGGAAGGAGGAGAGAGACCTGGGCCAAGGGCCGCACTTGGCTATTTGCTGCGGCCCAGCCAAGCGCCGGATGGGGAGAGCACGGGCTTGTGGGAGTGGTTGGGAGAATAAGAGTAACTTAGTGGTGGAAATTTCCCCTCAAACTGCTTCTGCCTCTCCAGCCGCTATCCCTGCAGAGGGAATTTACATTAAAGGTTTAAGTTGGGTTTGCTTGGGGACGGGGACTGAGGGTTGAGGTGTTGGGTGACAGCAGAGATAGGGGCTTGTTTGGGGCAGGGTTGAGCCCTGGTGGGTCGGGGGAGTCTCTCGTGCGTTCGTTCATCCCAAAGACACGGTCTGAGGCCTGTGCAGGACGACTCCAGCCTGGGCCCTCAAGGAGGGGTGGGGATGGGGTGACATCACGGTCGATGGAGGGTGGCGCAGGAGTGGGGGAGCTCAGACAAGAAAGACACTGGCCACCTGGGGAGTCAGGGAGGACTTCACAGAGGAGGTGACACATGAGCGGAGCCTTAGAGAGGAGCAGGAGTCTGCCAGTGGAGAAGGAAAGGGTCACCCCAGGTGGGAGAGGAGCAGAGGCAGAGGTCTGGGGGAGGGAGGGGCCGCCGTTGTCCACTGAGCCTCACGTCCTCTGCTGGGCACTGTGGGGGCCCCACGATCACACCCGCCCTTGAGGATTTCCCAGTCTGATAGTGGAGACATACCGGGGCCCAGCTGGCTGCCGTCAGCCCCTAGGACAGTGCCGGGGAGGTTCTGGGGCAGGGGGAGCTGGGGAGAGACCTCTGACCCCAGCTGGGGCGTCAGGGTGGTGGCTTCATAGCGGACAGAGCCTGTGCTGGGTCTTGAGTAATGAGTGGGCGGTTGCCAGGTGGGCAGGTGGGGAGCAGCGTTCCAGGCAGGGGGACCAGGACACACCAAGGCCCCAGGAAACGTGTGTTAAATGGCAGGGAGGCAGCAGGAGGAGTGAGGGGCAGGAGCTAGTGAGAGACAGAGAGAGCTTCAGGGAGGGACGTCCGGCAGACAGTTATACCCTGTTCCGAGCTGGTGACGCCGGGGACCCAGAGATGAGTCAGACCAGGCCAGTCCCCCTGGTCTGATGGGGAAGGAACCTGGACACAGACAGCCATGGCCATGGGGGCTCAGGGCTGGGACCGTGGGTGGGGGTTGCGGGGCAGGAGCCATGGGAGGCCCTATTTGCCTGCTAGGGCTGCCATCACAGTGCCACAAACCGAGTGGCCAAACATAGGAACTTTGTTTTCTCGCAGTTCTGGAGGCTACAGGTCAGAGCCAGGCTGTCGGCAGGGGTGGTTTCTTCAGAGGCCTCTCTCCTTGGCTTGTAGATGGCTGTCTTCTCCGGTGTCCACATATGGCCTTCCCTCCGTTCCTGTGACCTAATTCCTAGTTCTCATAAGAACGACAGTCAGACTGGATTAGGGCCCACGCTAAAGACCTCATTTCACCTTAATTACCTGTTTTTTATTTATTTATTTATTTTTTTCTTGAGACAGAGTCTTACTAAGTGTTGCCCAGGTTAGAGTGCCGTGGCATCAGCCTAGCTCACAGCAACCTCAAACTCCTGGGCTCAAGTGATCCTCCTGCCTCAGCCTCTTGAGTAGCTGGGATTACAGGCATATGCCATCATGCCCAGCTAATTTTTTTCTATTTTTAGCTGTTTGACTAATTTTTTTCTATTTATAGTAGAGATGAGGGTCTCGCTTTTGCTCAGGCTGGTCTCGAACTCCTGAGCTCAAGCAGTCCTCCCGCCTTGGCCTCCCAGAGTGCTAGGATTACAGGCGTGAGCCACCGCACCTGGCCTAATTACCTCTTTCAAGACCCTCTCTCCAAATGGTCATATGCTGCAGTCCCAGGGCTTAGGACTTCAACATACCAATTTGGTGGGGACACAACTCAGCCCATAGCAAAGCCATGGGTGAGCTTGGACTTTGTGGGGTGGAGATGAGGGCAGAGGCTGCCCGATTTGTGGGCAGGAGAGGCGTTTGCCAGCTTGACGGAGAGTCAGAGCCTGCAAGGCCTGGGCTCCCCTTCAGGCAGAACCCCCAAGCCGAGGGAGATGTGCAACAAGACACGGTTGAAGGGCAGGGTGCGAGAATGGCAAGAGAGAAGCAGAGGGTGACAGGCCACACCCAGGCCAGGCCCAGGAGCCATGGAAGGGTGTAGAGCCAGGGAGAGTTGGGTGTAGGAAGGATTGACCTGGGGCAGTGTGGAGCCAGGCTGGAGGGAGGGTCCGGGGAGGAGGCTGGAGGTTTAGGTAGGCTGAAGGGGCGAGATTTAGGGGTAGGCTGGGTTCGCAGTTGCTTGGAGTAGGGATAAGGTCAGGGTAAGTCAGAGCTAGGATCAGGCAGGATTTCTGCCTTTGCTGCCCCCAAGTCAGGAGAGGCCTCGTCACCAGCCCCCTTTCTGTCTTCCTGAATCTCTAATCATCATTAGCCGTTCAGTGCCCCATCCCCAGTGCCCGGAAACGGGACCTAAGTTCCATAGCGTCCTGAGCACCTGCTCCCCAGTCTGCCCCCACCCCCAGTGGCCTGTGCTTTAATAAGATTATGTGCTAGGCCGGGCGCGGTGGCTCACGCCTGTAATCCTAGCACTTTGGGAGGCCGAGGCGGGCGGATTGCTCAAGGTCAGGAGTTCGAAACCAGCCTGAGCGAGACCCCGTCTCTACCAAAAATAGAAAGAAATTAATTGACCAACTAAAAATATATATACAAAAAAAAATTAGCCGGGCATGGTGGCGCATGCTTGTAGTCCCAGCTACTCGGGAGGCTGAGGCAGTAGGATCGCTGAGCCCCGGAGATTGAGGTTGCTGTGAGCCAGGCTGACGCCACGGCACTCACTCTAGCCTGGGCAACAAAGTGAGACTCTGTCTCAAAAAAAAAAAAAAAAAGATTATGTGCTGGTTTTTTTTTTTTTAGCTTTAAATTTTTTTGGTTTTGGGTAAGATATAATGTGTCTACAGTAAAGTGCTCACATTTTAAGTGTAGAGCTTCAATGAATTTTTTTTTGTATAAATGGTTATGTTGCCCAGGCTGGTCTTGATCTGGCATCCTCCTGGCTCTGCCTCCCAAGGTGCTGGGATTACAGGTATGAGCACGCAGCCCTCAGTTTTTGCATACATATAGACTCCTGGAACTACCAAACAGAGCCTTTCTAGATGGAACTCCTCACGCCCTTGTAGCCTTCCTAGTCAGCACCCCCAAAAGGTGCTCACTAATCTGACCTTGATCATCTGATACCAGCCTGCCTGTTTTTGAACTTCACGTAATTGGAGTCATAACTGTATGTCTGCCTTGGTGCTTGGCTTCTTTCACTCAGGCTCCCGCCTGTGAGATTCAGCAATGCGTGTGAAGCAGGAGTTTGTTCTTTGTCATTGTATGGACGTGCCACATTTTGTTTATCCATTCACCTGTTGATGGGCCCTTTGGTTGTTTCCACTTTGGGGCTATTGTGGGAAGCTGTGCAAACATTCATGCCCATGACCTTGGTGGACAGCATGCGAGTGTCTCTTGGGTGGGTGCCCAGGAGTGGACATGCTATGTCGTAAATGAATAGTGGGGTTCAGTCTTCAGTTTTCTGAATACTGCTCGTATCAACTCATGTTCCCACCAGCAACACACGACCTGACTTTTTTTTTCTTTTAATTTATTCTTTATTTTTTGAGACAGTCTCTCTTTGTTGCCTGGGCTAGAGTACCATGGCTTCAGCTTAGCTCACAGCAACCCCAAACTCCTGGGCTCAAGTGATCCTCCTGCCTCAGCCTCCTGAGTAGCTGGGACTACAGATGCATGCCACTATGCCCAGCTATTTTCTACTTTTAATAGAGACACAGTCTCACTCTTGCTCAAACTGGTCTCAAACTCTTGAGCATAATTGATCCTCTCACCTCAGCCTCCCGAAGGGCTGGGATTACAGGGGTGAGCCACTGCAACAGTGACCTGACTTTTTTATTATTATTATTGTTATTTTTTTTTCTTTTGAGACAGAGTCTCACTCTGTTGCCCAGGCTAGAGTGCCATGGCATCAGCCTAGCTCACAGCAACCTCAAACTCCTGGGCTCAAGCGATCATACTGCCTCAGCTTCCTGGGTAGCTGGGACTACAGGCATGCACCACCATGCCCAGCTAATTTTTTTATATATCAATTTTTAGTTGGTCAATTAATTTCTTTCTATTTTTAGTAAAGACGGGGTCTCTCTCTCTTGCTCAGGCTGGTTTCGAACTCCTGACCTTGGGCAATCCACCCGCCTCGGCCTCCCAGAGTGCAAGGATTACAGGCGTGAGCCATTGTACTTGGCCGGACCTGACTTTTTAATTAGTGATTTAAAACACAAGCAGTGATTCATGTCAAGTAATCCTCAATTGCAAAATTCCTAGCCTTTTTTTTTTTTTTCAGTTGCTGAGCTCCCATCCCTCACTTTATCCTGCCTTCTTTAAATATCTTGGTGCCAGGGTTGGACAGTTCCCTTTGGTAGGGCTGGAGTCACAGTTTAGATGGGGATTTTGGAGTAAGTCATGGAGAGTTTAGGGTCAGAGGCAGGGTCATGAATAAGGTCTCAGGACGGTTGGGAGTCAAGGTCAGATGAAGGACTTGGACCATTTGGGCACAAGCTGGGATTCAGGGTGAGTAAGGGGACTAAGAATGGGTTGGTGAAGCCTACATTTGTGCTGGGGTCTAAGACCAGGAAGGGTTGGAATTGGCATTAGGATGAGCTTGGGCGGGGGGGTACTTTTGGATATGAAATGGGTAGAAGCAAGGACTAGGCCATTAGACCGGAGTGGAGCCATGGAGTCACGAAGACCTGGGGTCCAGTCAGGGCACCTCTGCTGTCCCAGTGTGCTCTTGGGGAGATGACATCCTCTCTTGAAGCCTCAGTTTCCTCCTCTGTAAAATGGGGTGATATTAGCACCAACCACTAATGTGAGCTCTGAGTCACATCTGGCTCAGTGCTTGGTATTGGTGAAAACTCACCTTTCTATGAGAACAGGAGTTTGTCCACGGGTTTGTGTCCTCTGGTGCCCAGCCTGCTGCCTTCCCTGGACTACTTCCTTTCATTTCCTGGGTCTAGGGAACTGTGGAACGGGACTGTGTTGCAGGGGCAGACATGAGGTGCAACTCGGGTTTAAGGCTGAAGTCCCGGGTGAGGTCTAGGGTTAGATCGGAAGACAAGATCAGAGGTAGGGCCGGCTGGGGTTGGGGTCAGAGAGGATCAGGGTGGGGCCGCTGGGCCGGGGCACTGAACAAGCAGGAAGGCCAGGTGGGAGTGAGGTGTGGACGGGGAAAGTGGTGGGCCGGGGCAGGGGCCAGAGGGCGGCTGAATCACACTCAGAGATCTGTCAGCTCCCTTCTCTGGGGATGCTGCAGCCCCATCACGTCCCCCAGGCCCCACTCAGAGTGGAAAACATGTCTCACCCGAAACCTGGTGGGGTAGGACGGGAGCTTCGGCGGCCGCCTGTGCGGGAGGCCCAAGGTTGCACTCATTCCTCTGGAACATCGCCAGCCCCTCCTGGGCAGCTGACACCTTCTCACGACCACCTTCTACCTCCTGCCCTGCCCCAGGGCCTCAGGGTGGGTGACACCCACTGTGCCACTTTCTGGAGGGGAGAAAGGATACGGCAAGATCCCTCAGGGCCCGAGGTCCCCCTCTCGTCCTGCCGGAGAAGGGCAGAGACCCAGAACAGAGGGCCCGTCTCTCAGAAAGAAACACTTCCAAGGCAGCAGGAGGTGGGGGGTGGGGAGGATTTGGAGAAAGGCAAGGGTGTGGCGGAGGGGGGCCTGAGAGCCCTTCTGGCTTCTCCTCCCTCACCCCACTTCCATCCCTCCTCTGTCCCCAGAAATAAGAATGTCTAAGCCCCTGGAGGCCGAGAAGCAAGGTCTGGACTCCCCGTCAGAGCACACAGGTGGGTGGGAGGGGAGTGGGGGCAGGGTTGACCGTGGGCAGGGGGAGAGGGGCAGGTGGGAAGACAGCAGGGAGGGGACAGGTGTGGTGGGGGTGGCTGGTGACAACACATCCTTTCCCTCTCTTTACAGACACTGAAAGAAATGGACCAGACACTAACCATCAGGTCAGGAGGGAGTGGCTACGAAGGAGGGGGTGGGAGGGGGAGAAGGGAGTGGAGGGGTCTGAGCTGGGCGGGCCAGGGGGCAGAAGCTGCTTCACTGCATTATTCCCATCGCCCTGCACCTACTTTCTCTTTGCAGAACCCTCAGAATAAGACCTCCCCATTCTCTGTGTCCCCAACTGGCCCCAGCACCAAGGTAAGCACCTGTCAAAACAGCCAGGGAAGGGGGTGGTGCTTGGGAGAGGGTCCTGGCAGGCCTGCCCCAGGCCCAGGGCCTGAGGGAGCACCAAGCCCTGGTACCTTGGTGACAAGGTTCCTCCCGCCCATTCTCACCCCTGGGCTCCCGCCCCAAGCCTGTGACTCACCCAGGCTCCTTCCCCTTCCCTAGAGGGTGGGGGTGGCCAGGGAAATCCCCCCCACAGCCCCAGGGTGATGAACAACAGGAAGCCAAGGGCCCCGCCCCCATCCCGACTTCCCTGACCCAGCAGGGGCCTGCACCACTCTCTGCCCCCCAACACACACATTTAGGGGACAGCCTAGGTCAGCAGACTCGGTGAGGACAGTTATGGGATGCAGGAGGAGGGGATGATGGGGAGGCTGGAAACAGCCAAAGGATGCAAATTCCAGGTCCAGATGGGGCCCCTGCTAGGTACTACTGGCTTCCTGGGGTTTCTTGGGCCCAGGTCTCCACCTTCCAGCCTGGTCAGGGCAGCAGGCAGGCCCAGAGCACCGATGGTGGGGGCAAAGGGGGCAGGAGCCAGACCCTGACCCTGATCGGTGGTGGCCGAGGGGTGGGGTGGGAGGCTAGGAGCTGTTCCCCACCCTGCTGCAGCCTTGCTCTGTGACCATGGGAAAGTCACTTCCCCTCTCTGGGCTTCTCAGTTTCCTCTTCTCTACCACTGGCTGGGGGGAGGGGGCAGTCAGATTGGATGGCCCTCGGAGGTCACAAAGTCTGGTGTGCCCTGATGCTGCAGTGGGAGGACAAAGTGCTTTGTGAGCAGGTGTCTTCCCTCCTGTACTGAGCGCTTTGCACGAGGCCCGAGGGAGAAGTGCTCTGGGTCCCGACCCCCTCGACCCTCTGACTTCAGGCTTGGCTCTTGCCTTAGCCCTCGGAGTGGAGCATGCCCCCACTCTGTCCCTCCTCAGCGGAATTGGATCTCGCCCTGCCGCAGCCTCCCTTCTCTTGGGGAAGCCTTTGAGGCCGAGGGAATGAAGGGGTCTTTCTCCCCTTCCCGGACCTGGGCTCCATCCACATCGAGCCCATTTCTCTGGCCTTTGCCTCTCGGCATCTCTCCACCTCCTCTGTGTCAGTCTTTCCCTAACTGCCGTGATTCATGGGCTCCGGACGGCCTCAGATGTATCCACCACGCACCACTGTGGATGATTATTTACATAATAATTTTGCTAATTGGCTCAATTTCTAAAAACACTTTATTATGGAAAATGTGAAGCAGACACAAAAATAGAGAGAAGGGTATAATGAAAATAAACCCCCAGGTACCCATCAATCAGCTTCACCAATTACCCACTCATGAACCGGCTCGATTTTCAACAGCTTAAATAAATGTTTTTTAAATGGAAATTTCATGAATGGAAAACCAGAATCACTTGCCATGGAAATAAATGCAATGATTATTAAAATTTACCCAGAGCCTCTTACGTGCCGAAGGGTCTAGACCCGAGGCCTGTTCTCTGTTTATTAAAAGAAGCGATTAGCCAATATTGGAGAGGTGTTAAAGACATCCTAGCACCAAACCAAGGCTTTCTTAAGATAACCAGAAAGAATGAAAAGGCACCAAAAATGGAAGAGTGTTCTCACCATGGCATTCAACGTTATATTTTAAAAACTTTATATTCAAATATGACACACGTCAAAACACACACAGATGCTCAGTGTATGACGCTTTGCATGTCCACAAACCGAGCACACCCACGTCACCAGCTCCACATCAAGAAGCAAAGCACGACCGGCCTTCTAGAAGCCCTTACTGCCCCTACCAGGGGTAGCCGTTGCCAAATGACCCAGTGTCATTTCACGCTGCATCCCTGTAGCCCTTAAACTTTCTGACACTTGTGTCCCATAATTTGGTACATGCCACTCACTGTGTGTTATCTGGCCTTTCCCTGACCTCTGTTCTCTGTCTGCATTCCAAATGCCACCCTGCTATGTCACCTCTCATAAGTTGCTTTCCCTCTCTGGACCTCCTTTTCCAAAATGGTGTTGGGGTATCAGGCCAGAGGATGGTCCCAATGTACGTGATCCATCAAGCCACGCCTCTCCCCCACCCCTACATGTGCTTTAGCCTGCAGGACTTTCAGCCAATAGCCGCTGTGTCCTGGCTTTTCTTTTTGAGACAGGCTCTCACTCTGTTGCCCATGCTACAGTGCAGGGGTGTCATTGTAGCTCACTGCAACTCCAACCTCCTGGGCTCAATCGATCATCCTGCCTCAGCCTCCCGAGTAGCTGGGGCTATAGATGTGCCAGTGTGCTCAGCTTGCTGACTGGCTTTTTATCTAGGAGAGGAAGAAGGCCAGGATGGCTCTGTGCCGGTCTGTTCTATGGGTACGAAGCAATATGAGTCCATACCATACTCAGAGAGATCCAGAGGGGCTCGGCAGACCCTGAGGACAGAGGCTGAAGCCTGGCAGTACCTGGGCCACATCTGGCCTGTCCACAGCACAGGACATATGCTGTGCTCTGCTTGTCCTGCCAGCGTTTTTGTTTTAGACTTTGAAATGAGTGACTAGTAAGACAGCCCACCCCCATTTACCCTGTCCCTGTCACCCTTTGGTGCTGTCTGCCTGTCCCTGTAAGCATTTGAGTTAGTGGCCTGCATTCCAAGGTGGCGGTTTTAACACCCTAAGATAATTCTTCCAACCACAGCCTGCCAGCCAGCTCCCCGGGACTCCACAGCTCACCTTGTCCCAACCCACCCGGCTTGTTGGACAAATGGAGTAAGACTCCCTCTGGCTGACGCAGATGAGGGGTACAGGACCCAAGGCCCCTTTGTTTGACCTCCCAGGTGCCCCATGGCACTCTTTTCCATTTGGCAGATGGGGAAACTGACTCCCAGGAGGGGAAAAGCACCCTCCAAAGGTGACCTCTCCTGTAGAGAGTTTGGGTACAGGTAGTGTGTTAGCCCTGTCTGATTGATGAGGAAACTGAGGCCAGAGGAGTGGTCTGAGGTCCCCAGCCGGCCTCACCTCTGTACCCCAGTCTGCTCCTCCTGTGCCAGCCTGAGGCTGCCATCGCCACACACGTGCCCTCTCTTTGGTTTGCAGGTGGGCATTCTCTCTGGCCTCCACTTAACATTCTGGGGTCCCGGACCCTGCCTCTCTCCCCCCCAGATCAAGGCTGAAGACCCCAGTGGTGACTCAGCCCCTGCAGCACCCCCGCCCCCCCAGCCGGCTCAGCCTCATCTGCCCCAGGCCCAACTCATGTTGACAGGCAGCCAGCTAGCCGGGGTAAGTACCTGGGGAAGGACAGGGACGGACGGGGGCACAAACCAGCCACCTCCCATCAGTGGCAGGGTTGGTGGATGAGGTGTTCCACCAAGGCCATGGCCACTCTCTCACGCCTGCCTCTTGCCCTCCTGTCCTCCAGAAAGACTTGTCCCTTCACCTGCGCTTGGCTCAGCCACTAACCCCTCTCTGCCTTCTCTGCTCCTCCCCTGCTCTGGCCCCTGCCGTTCCCCCCCCATCTGTCCCCCCAACAGCTCACGGCGCTGATGCCAGCTCAGCAGCAGCTCCTCCTGCAGCAAGCGCAGGCCCAGCTCCTGGCGGCCGCCGTGCAGCAGTCCAGTGCTGCCGCCGCTGCTAACGCCGCTGCCGCCGCCGCCGCCTCCTCCTCCTCCTCCTCTTCCTCCTCCTCCTCTGCCTCCTCCTCGACCTCGCAGCCCCCAGCCTCCTCTGGGGGAGGTGACCTGCCACCACCACAGCCTGCCAGCCAGCCCCCCGGGACCCCACAGCTCACCTTGTCCCAACCCATCCAGCTCACAGCACAGGTAAGGGCAGCCACTGGGCCCACACGCCCTCCAGCCCAGGACGTGCAAACGCTGCAGCGGGGGTGCGGGCGGGGCTGCTGGTCCAGGACGTGCCAGGCTATTCCCGGCAACCCTAAGAAGCCTTAGGAGATGTTGCCCTCCCATCTTACAAAGGGGTCAAGTGAGGCTCCCCGGGAGGAATATCCCACATGCTGGCCCTCCACCTGACGGAGTGCCAGGCTAAGGGCTTTCCGTGCGTCCCACTGAGGGGTCACAGCCTCCTAGGAGGTTGACATCATCATCCTAACTTATAGGTGAGCAAACCACAAGCCACTCCCGTGAATGGTACCCGTGTGGGTACAAACAAAAGGCTGGAAGTCATAATTAGTGCCCCACGTCATGTCCCCCGGCTCATCCAACAAGATGATCCTTTCAGAAAAGGGGTCCATGTGGGTTACAAGTGTATTCAAGTAAAAAAAAAAAAATAGAAAAAGTATCATGATGTATGACTTAGGAAGTGCTACATCCTCTCTCCCATGCTGGAGTTGGCTCGTGTGCAGTTAACCAGGAATTAGTGGCTGTCTCAGTTTCCTAGAGCTGCCATAACAAAGTGCCACTAAATGAGTAGCTTAGAACATCAGAAATGTGTTGTCTCCGACCACGAGTCCAGGTGTCGGCAGGGCTGTGCTCTCCCTGGAAGCTCCAGGGAGAATCCGTCGTCGTGCTGCTTCTGGCTTCTGGTGGTGCCGGCGATCCTTAGTGTCCCATGGCTTGTAGATGAGTCACTGCCATCTCTGCCTCCCTCATCACATGGCCATCTCCTCTGTATGTGTGTCTGTATTCAAACTTTCCTTTCTTGTAGGGACACCAGTCATTGCATTAGGGCCCAGCTTACCGACCTCATTTTTACTTGATTACATCGACAAAGACCCTATTTCCAAATAAGTTCATGTTTGCAGGTACCAGGGGTTGGGGCCTCCATATGTCATTCTGGGGGACAGGACCCAACCCGTAACAGTGGCCAGGAGGTTTCCCATGAGGATAGCCTCACGGGAGGGGGAGCAGAGCAGGAGCTGAGCAGCTTCCCCTTCAGACAGGCTGCTCCTCCAGCCCACCCCCGTCCGCACCTGCTCACGTCGCCCATTTATGCTGAGTGTCTGGTTTCAGCAAGCATCTGAGTCTGTGGTGTGTGCTGTCCTGAGGTGGGAAGGTCCTGAGAAGTCCTACAGCAAAGAGACCTGTTTAACTTCCCTTAGCCTGGAGTTTCCCTCAATGACGACTCCACAGGTGGCTTCTCTCCCCCCAGCCACCCTCTTGCACAGAACGCCGGAGGGCAGACACTGTCTACCTAAGGGAGTTGTCCAGCCTCCAAGAGGCTGTTCTCTTGACAGAGTCACCCCTTCAGACTGGCCCATTCCGTTACAGACCGATGCTCCCATTTAGGACTTCCCTTAATGCTGAGCTGACACCTGCCTCCTTAGAACTCCCTGCCACTGGGCCCAGCACCTCGGAGACAGAGCAATCCGGGCCACTGCTCCATGATGGCCCTTCCAGACACAGCCTCCCAAGACCTGGCTCTCCACATTAACCGTAACGATAGTCTGTACCGGGCACTGTGCCAGCGATGACCTCTTTGAACCCACAAATCTTCCCTGCGGAGGCTCTGAGTGGCAGACTGACCTGCCCCAGGTCATGCCGTGAGCAGGAATGGCAGAGCCAGCCTGCAAGCCCTGGGCCATAACCACATGATCTGCTGCCGTGATTCCCAGCCCCTCCCACCCCAGCCACCAGAGACTCCTGCAGCAGGTGTAGCACCTTGGGTGAGCAAGGCCAAGGGCTGGGGCTCCTCACAGGGGCTGGGCTCATTCTCCTTTTTACTTGGAGGCCTGTTCCCTTCCTTTACCTGGATGGCTCCTCTTCATCTGTTAAGCCCCAATTCCGGGAGTCCACACCTCCGGGAAGTTGTATTGATGTCCCTCCCTCCAGCTGTGCCTGATTATGCCTGAGGAAATACCAGTTAAGGAACAGAGACTAGAGGGAGGGAGGAGCGACAGGGCAGCCTAGTGCAGACCCAGCCAGGCCTTCACCCCTGTGGGCAGGAGACACTCCTGTTAATGCACCCCCAGAACTGCCTCCCCCAGCTCTCTGGGGACCCTAGCAGCAGCAGGCTGACCCTCTGCCACTTGCTGTCCAGCCCAGGCCCTGATTGTCAAGGTCTCCTTCAGCCCCTCCCTGCCAAGTCCTTTCCTCTGGCTCCTCCCTCCCCGGCTTCCTTCAACTCTGATCTCTCCCTGTCTGTCCTCAGCTTGTTTTCTGGGAATTCTTTCTCACGGGCTGAGCTGCCTTGTGACATCATTTCCCCAACAGCACTTCCTATGTGCCAGGCCCCACGCTGGGCCCAGGCCGCAGTGGGGACCAGCTCCTCCTGCCCTAGCTGCCACCGCCCCAGCCCTCCCCAGCCCCGAGCTTGAACTTGAACGAACTTGAACGGCTCCCCCACAGCCTGCGTTCCACTTCTCCTGCCTGCTCAGCGCTGCCGCTGCCGCTGCGGTCATTTCTCGGACATTTCCCGGCCTCCTGCATGTCAGGCCCTGGCAGGAAAGCTGAAGATTCAAAGTGAATCGCAGCTGTCCCTGCCCCTTGAGGGGCTCCCCATCTTGTCCTGAGACAGGCACATCTCCAAACCACTAAGAAATGTTTCACTTGGAAAATGCTAAGAAGCCCAGGAAAGAGAGTCAAAAGCCCTCCTAACCTGTCATTTTAAACTCATCTAAAGTACCAAGGAAAAGTTCCCTTCCATCCCTCTGATGTCAGCTTCTGAAGTCATGCCAGTTAAACAGTTTGGCAGGATCCTTCCCTGCAATTTCCTGGCTTGCACAGATGAGGGGTGATTACAATACGGTTTCATAATTTGTCTGTCCGTTGCCTGGCGCGATGCGATGCCTTCCACCGAGGGGGCCGTGTGGATGCTTACTGAATCAATGAGGGATGTTTTGCTGCAGTTTTTCAATCAAGGGAAGGGAAGACATCTCTCCAGGGGAGTATTTCAGAATGTCTGGGGTAGGCATAGGCATTGATTGAAAACTTACGTTAATGGTAAAAACATCGTTTTATATTAGAGCATAGGGGGAAAAATCCCTATTTTTGTAATAGGGCCATGGAAAATAAAGCTTGACAAAATCTCTTAGGCTAGTAGGACCTAGTGAATAAAGGTTTCCAGGGGAAACCTACTGGATGTGATGTGAATGTGGGAAAAGAAGTGTGACCATGTGTCTGAGGGAATCAGGAAGGCTTTGGGGTGGAGGCAGGATCTGCACTGAGAGGAGATGAGTAGGAGTTTTCCCGGAAAGGGCTTCCAGGCAGTGGGAATGGCAAGTGCAAAGTGAGAAAGCAGAGGCGGGAGTTGCTGGTGGGGGAGCCCAGGGTGGAAGAGGGGAGGGTGAATGGGTCAGGCAAAGCCCAGCTCCAGGGGGCTGAAGAGGACAGGGAATGTTCAGCTCAGACCTCTGAAAAAGGCCTGGCCTGGAAATCAGGCCCATCTCCAGGAGTCTGTCTCCCTGTTTCATTTTTAGATAGGCAACATGGGTGCCAGCATTTCAGACTTGCAGCTGTCCTGCCCAGGGAGATAAAACACACCCGCTGGGCAGCTTTGAGTCAATGCCCCCCCACCCCTGAGAAGGCAGGGTCAGCCCCACCTAGACCTCGTGACTTGAAAGTGGGGCGGGTAATCCCCCCAAATTGCTTGAAGAAGGGGCAGTGGGTACCTGGCCCGCCAAAACTGCCCACCTGGAATCTGCCGCTGTTTGTCTGTCCAGGAATTTTAGCATAAGGCAGCACATGACGTAACACAATCCATATGTACCATGTTTCCCCGAAAATAAGACCTACTCATAAAATAAGCCCTAGCAGGATTTCTAAGCATTTGCGCAATATAAGCCCTACCCGGAAAATAAGACCTAGTGATGGGCGTGGCTACGCAGCATATTTGCATAACCCATGCATTTCGTTGGGGAGCGGTAAAGAAGACAAGTACCCCTTCTCATCAGCCCCATCTTGACAGCTACTATCCCAGAGATGATCCAAATGGTGCAGGCAGCCCCACCAACAGGGTCGGCTCCCCCTGTCAGGTCCCGGCCATGCTGCAAGCTGAGGCTTTGAGGGGAAAATAACACATCCCCTGAAAATAAGCCCTAGGGTGTCTTCTTGAGGAAAAATAAATATAAGACCCTGTCTTATTTTCGGGGAAACACAGTACGTGTTTTTTCTCCTTGTCGAATGGGTCTGTGTTTTGTGGCGGTCTACCCTACTGCCAGGACTTTCTGGGCTCCATTTGGCAGGGCCAACCTCTGGGGAACAGGGGACAGAGAAGAGCCCACACTTGAGAATGGCCACCTCCTCCACCCCATCTTTCAAGCTTTCCCTAGCGGAGGGACTAGAATAATCACAGTCATTTATTCATTCGACTGACATGTATTGAGTACC